ATGCCAGACTAATGAGGTTTCCGGTTAGTGAGAAACTACCCCACAACCGACAAGGGATTGTATCTCTTTTGTTTTCAATTTTTTTTTTACTGAAAAAAAAATCTAAGATTGTGTGTGTGTGTGTGTGTGTGTGTGCGCGCGCGTGCTTGTGTGTGAGGACGTGTACCTAAATATAAGTGGCTGAGGAGGTCACAGGATTTGGAACCACCTGGAGATGTCTGTTATGAGCCTCCTGACATTGGACGCTTCCATCTGAACCCCAGTTCTCCTCAAATCAGGTATGTGTTCTTAACCACTAAGCTATGTCTCTAGCTCCTTGGGGGGGGAGGGGATTAATTCATTTTCATTGGTCTAGCTAATGCCTTTGATCAAACTGGGAGTCACCAAGATCCAACTTGCAGTTACACAAGCAACCACATGATGTCACCAGGAGCTCAAAGTATTTCAGACTAACGCCCAATAATCTGGATTGAAAAGAAAAAAAGAAAAAAAAAAGAAATTTGACAAACACGGGAAACAATAATATCAGACTTGAAAAAACTCAACTAACTGAATCCAAGTTGGACAGTTTGTCCTGGAGATCTTGGTGAGTCCCATATGGATGGGTCCAGAAACCAGAAATTGGAACAGACTACCCAATAATTTCTCAATGTGACAGCCTCAACATCTTGATACTTGTCAGAAGGGAACACAGGTGGTGTTGGCTCCAGCTGTCTCAAAGGGACCCGTGTTGAGAAGTAATGAGTACTGCTGAGGGAAAGACCTTTTCTTCCCTGAAGACCAGGTCCTATGTTGGAACTAACAGAGCAGGGTGGGGCCTCTTGCCTAGGACCGATTACAACATTGCCACCAAACATATCAAATCAAAGTTTTAGAGACCAGAAGATATAATTTAAAAAAAAACATATTTGTTCATCTGTAACAAATGCTGCATAGAAGGAAGGGGATGGTCCAGCTGTCTTATAACCAACAGCATGGAAAAGTGAACACATGTTCAACAGGACATTTCATCAGGAAAACCTGAGCACACAAACAGCTTGCAGTGACTTTTCATTGTCACACTGGACAAAGCCTTGGGACAAGATAAAGTGTGAATGGGATAGGGTAAAGCCAAGTGCTGCTGCTTCTTACTTGGTTGGTCTTTGCTAGCAGAGTGTGGAATTCTCAGGATAGTAGACCTCTGACTTACAGGAAACCGGTTTCTTTTCTCTGTTTAGCCCAAGAGTCTGGCACATCTTCATCTTCCCCTGTCCTCCATCTTTCAGCCTATAACAAGGACATCTTGGGGTTTTTTATTATAAATTTAGAAATTAGATTTAGGGCTGGAGAGATGGCTCAGAGTTGATGTTGCTACAGCAAGGCCTGAAAGGTTTGGTGCATCAACTCCCATGACGGTGCCTGCTGCTTGGAAAACTTATTTTAATTTTTTTAGATGATACTTGCACTTTTTTAGTTAGTAATAGAACAAGTATCTCTCATATATGAAAGGTTAAAAGTCAACATGATTGTAAAATAGAATATAATAATAAATAGAACTTGAAAAGGATGTGTGGTGGGTAGGCTGGATAAAGAGAGATCAAATTTACAGAGTGAAAGATGTATGCATGTGTGGGAGTGTGACACTAATCTCCATGGAGATATATATATATATATATATATATATATATATATATATATATACACACATACATATACATTTCAGGTGTTAAGTAAAATAAAATATTTATGGGTAAAAATAAACATATACTGAGGCATGCATATATATATATATATATATTTAACTTGATTCTTATACATGTTGTGTGGCAATTACTTCTAATTGAAACATTCCATCTTGGAGAAAGGCTCATTAAGAGGAAGTATGGGGCTAGAGAGATGGCTCAGCAGTTAAGAGCACTGGCTGCTTATCCCACGGATCCAGGTTCAATTCCCAGAGCCCACATAGCAGCTCACAACTGTCTGTAACTCCAGTTCAAACATGATGTCCTCTTCTGGCCTCCAAGGGCACCAGGCACACATGTGGTGCACAGACGTACATGCAGGCAAAGCACCCATACACATTAAAATAAAATAAATACAATCTCTGAAAGAGTCAAGAAGTAAATATTGATGAGATGACTTAGTGGTTAAGAGCAGTGACTGCTTTTCTAGAGGACCTCTGCTCATTTCCCAGCATCTATATGGCAGTCACAAACATCTAAAATTCCAGCCCTAGGGGATCTGATGCCTTCAACTGGCCTCCAGAGGTACCAGGCACATGGTGCATAGACATACATGCAGGCAAAACACCTGTACACATAAAATAAAACAATAGAACATAATTTTAAAAGACTTGAGAAGTAAATAAAACAAGTCTCGGGAAGTAAAGACTCTCAAAACTAAGGATGCTCCCAAAACTTAAAAGGATCCCAAGGTCCCTCCCCAAAGTTATATAGCTATTAAAGCAATAAGAACCACTGGGGCAAAGAATCTCTGATCTGTCAAACTGCCTGAAATCATGTAACGTTCATGGGTCCTCACCTAGGCGAGGACATCCTGTTCAGTGAGCTGGCTGCCTTTGCACCATCCATGCTCCTATAAGGAACTACTTATCCATGCTCTCATATGGAACCCTGAGAAACTCATTCGTTCACCAAATTGAATTATGGTAGAATCATTTCATTGATCTGCTGTCAGTGCCCCTTCTGGGGTGGATAGATATCTGTCTCTCTGCAGAGAAAGAAAAGCCTCTTAACACAAAGAATGTATAAATAGGGACTAACAGAGCAAAACAATGAGTTGTGGGTGGAGTGGTTTGCACAACCCCTGCAATGGGTGCTGAGACATGCAACTGAGGCTGATCCGTGTGATGGTGGAGGTTCCACAGGGAGCAGTTCCACCCAACATGGCTACCCTTCCCCTACCTTTTGTAGGAAACAATGTGCCTCCTTGCTGTGGTGGTGGTTACATTGCTCTATGTGATGGGTGGTGGCCATCTGAGAATGGAATGCCATTGAAGGAAGTCCCAGGGTAGCCATCTTTCTCTATTCAATATGTGGGGTGAAGTTCTCATGACGCACATTGAGGAAAAACAGTCATTACTGAGAAAAATGGGTTTGAGAGAGGCAGTTTCATATCCAGTTCACTGGGTCATATAGGATGATATTCACAGGAAAGTTCAGAAAAACATTGACTCAGCAGGGACTATGGGACTGATTAGGGGCTTAAGGCTTTCCATCTCTCTAGAAGAGTCTCGTAATATTTCCCCCTGAAATTATTTCCAGAAGGAAATCAACAATTTCTTCTTAGCCAGGCATTAAGCTGAGCCCCATGATGGTAATTTCACATCTACTCAAAAAAACAAAAAAAAAACAAAAAAAAAAAACAAAAAAAAAAAAAGTCAAGCAACAAATGCTAGTAAAACAATGGAATTGAATTTTAAAAATTACTTCAGAATGGTCATAGCCCCTTTAGTCAAACAGTGAAGAACTTAAATGCATGTAAGTAGGAAAATAGATAACCTCAAACACATCATACAGCAAAATATTTCTCATTACTAACTACAAAGAATCCTTTCTTTCTTCTTCCCTTTTAGAGTCTTACTGGGTAACTTTGGATGGAAACTCACTGTAGACCAGGATTGTCTTGAACTAACAGATATCTACTTTTCTCTACCTCCCAAGTCCTAGGATTAAAGGTGTGTGCCACCATGCCCAGCTGTGCTACATACACATACATACATACATACATACATACATACATACATACATACATGGGACTGAGGAGATGGCTCAGCAATCAAGGGCATTGTCTGCTCTTCTGAGGTCCTGAATTCAATTCCCTGCACTCACATGGCAGCTCACATCTGTCTATGATGGGATCTGATGCCCCTCTTTTGGTGTGCAAATGCACATTCAGACAAAAACCCATATACATAAAATACATAAATAAATAAATTTAAAAATAACTGTTCTGGATATTAAAAAGACCAGAAAGAAAGATGCCCTAGGAATAAATAAGTATACCCAAAAGCATGGATGTTGGTGTCTCAAGAGTCACAGGTTGGTGTCTCAAGAGTCACAATTAAGATGGGCAGTGGTGGGCTATACAGAAAAACCCTGTCTGGGGGATGGGGGAAGAAAAAAGAAAAGGAAAAGAAAAAAAGGTGTCATAATTAAGTATCTTTACAACTGGTTACATCTCCAAAGTTTGCTTTCAAATCGAGGCTGGATTACAAGAGACCCTGTTTGAAAGAAAAAATTTTAAAAAGTTACCCAGCCTCTGGGTAGCTGTGGGACTATGGGCATGTTCCCAAGCATGGAGTGCTTACGTATACCTAATCTTCAAGTAATACATGACTGCAGACACAAACATTTCTTCATCACTCCTTGAATCAAGAATTTTGGCAATGCTCTTTTACAGCTGCTTCTATCTGAACCTTAGTTTGGGATGGACTTCAGCAAATATGGTGGTGAGCTAACTCTGCATGTGGGGTCCAAAGGTTTTAAATGCTTCTGCTTTGTTTGTTTTAAAATAGAACCAGGTAACTCAATGAGAACAAAACCTGCAAAAGCCTGCAGGGGGTGAGATGTCATAGGGAAAAGAAGCAGGGCATCCTAGGTACCACCCAGCCCAGTCACCACCAGTGATGAGAACAGGAGGTAGAAGCTGTCTAGACAGTTCAGAATGAAGTCTCCAAATAAAGCCAGATAGATGGTGGTGGTGCATGCCTTAAATTCCAACAGAGGCAGGTGGATCTCTGAGTTTGAGCTCAGCCTGGATTACAGAGGGAGTTCCAGCGCAGCCGGGGCTACACACAGAGAAAACCTGTCTTGAAAACCAAACCAAATCAAAACAATACAAAACCAAAATGTCTCCAAAGAAAATCAGTTTATTTCTGGGCTAAAGCTGGAAACATCTTTGGTTCTCTTGGTAGCCCCATTCTTGCCAGAGGCCAAAGGTGTCAAAAGTGTTTTAGGGCTCTAAGATGATTCCTCAATGATTTTAGGGTTACCTAGATCATGAGATCATTAATTGACCCAGAACAGACAATATCAGGATTCAGCAAACAGGTACTTATTTTCTTGTTGAAGGATGAGATCCTTGTTTGGTGGCATTTTTGAGTTGTACAAAAAAATGCATGTAGACATTTTGGCATGCTATCAGTGCTGCAACTCAGTAGTTACCTCACAGCTCAGAAGAAACAGATGATCAAAGCCTGAGTGTGAGTTCCAAGGCCAATTACATAATTAAAAACTTGCCTTTGTGGTTCACTTGGCGGAGTGTTTGTCTAGCATGAACAATCTTAGGTTGAATCACCAAAACTGCCTACACTGGGTGTGGTTGTGCGTCCCAGCACTTGGGAGGTGGAGGCAGAGTGTTACTACTCTAGAGGCAGTGGGCCCTGGGAGAATGGATCCCATAAATGAGGCAGACTAAAGCAAACTTTATTCAGAGCATCAGACAATTTATAAGCTGAAGGTTAATGAGGAGCTGCATGTTTGCAAGCCACACTTAACAAAAACATGTTTCTCTATGGAGTCATGTAAACAAATAACAATAGCCTGTTGTAATAAAAAATCTGAAGCAAACTCATTCCTATTTGTTACATGTAGAAGAGGCTTGAAAATATAACTTAAGAACAATTTTGTGTTTTTGAAGAAGCTAAGATCACAAGACTCTAGTCTTAGTTTCTTGGAGTTTTCTCACAAGCACTGAGAAATCTCCCATGACTCCATTCTTGAACTGTGTTCCAGCAGCAGAGGATCAAAAATTTAAGGTCATTCCTAGGCTTGTAGCAGATTCGAGGCCAGCCTGGAATTCACCACATCTTAGAGAGGGTAGGAGGCTGGGACAGAAGAAGAAAAGAAATAACTCAGAGAGAGCATGGCCTCTGTGGGCTATAAGGCACTCAACAATTAGGATGTCTACACAAGATTTGCCTTTCTATTCACATAAACCTTCCTTAAAACATCATGTTAATATAAAAGTTAAACAGACATCTCACCAAATGGGGAACAGTTGTTGGAGCAGAAATACGGCTGCAGGTTTCCACTGGGGAATCTTCTCCAGTGAGGACACTTTAGAAGCTTGCAGGCTTGACCCACATCTGCTGTGAAGTCCTTCAGTTGTGGCAGGCTCTGGAACGATGACACTAATGGGGGTCCAAGAGGTCCTTGGGACAGCATAGGCCAACAGCTACAGCTGACAGTCTGGCCTGTGTGGGCCACCAACAGTGTGGAAGTTCAGCGGTCATTGAGACCCAGGCTTCACACAGAGTCTCAAATCTTCTCGCCAATGAGTATCAAAGCACGCTGGAGAAGTGGTTTCAGGTGAGTGTGGCAGAGAGATTCTAGATACCATTCCCAGGTTGTGGGGCAAACTCCTTAAGAGAATACAGGGACCTCTTAAAGCTGATAGAAAGTCTTTATTTGCTGGCTGGTGGACTACATGGGCAATTTACTCAAAGTATGTAGCCATGAGTCTTACCATTCTTTGCCTTTTTGGCACAAAAAAAAAAAAAAAAAAAAAAAAAAAAAAAAAACCACATCCTGGTTGACACACTTTGGTTGGCAAGAACAGTTATCGAGAAGCTAAATTACAGAAGCCAAAAAGCAAGGTTAGTACATTCCTTGGAACTATGGACTAGATCTTTGACAGATTAGGTCTTTGTTCTCATTTTTTGGCAGGTGTTGAGGTTTATGTCTTGTGTTCTAAGGTCAGAATGGTGCCTGGAGCATGGTATTAGTGTTAATCCTAAACATGGGAGGATAAAGACCACTGACCCAAATCATCATGGCCAAATTAATTAAAGCAAGTGATTGATTAATTAAAGCAAGTTTTTTTTTTTTTTTAATTCATTTACACAGGCTGCCTCCAAGGCAGGGACTGAGAGGTCAGGATTGGATGTGAAGAATGTCCTCTCATTTCTGGCTCACACGAGGTGGGGGGTGAGGGGGTGGGAGGTGAGGGGGTGGGAGGTGAGGGGGTGGGGAGTGGTCAGTGGTGGTGCACACCTATAATCCCAGCACTCGAGAGGCAGAGGTAGGTGCATCTCTGAGTTCAAGGCCAGACTGGTCTACAGAGCAAGTTCCAGGACAGCCAGGAATACACAAAGAATCTCTGTCTTGAAAAACAAAACAAAACAAAAAGAGTGGTGGTGGTTCCATCTTGGCTTTGTTTGTTTGTTTTGTTTTTTGGTGTTTTGAAGAGACTGAGAGGCATGAGAATTGTACTTGCCTGTGGCTGTCCAGGGAAGTTGGGGTTTACTGAAAACCTAGAATGTGGCTGAGATGTTCAGGAATGTTAAAATGCAGAGTAAATTTCAAAGAAATTAGCAGCAACTGGATAGGTATTTTGTTAATAAAAATTGAAAACATGCCTTTTGTGCATATTTTGCAGAATCATGTTATAGAAAACACAAGGAATTTCACCCACTTCTGTTTGTTGTTTATGTTTGTTCTTTGGTTTGTTCTTGAGTGCTGAGTGAGGGTCAGCTCCCAAGCTCTCTGTCACCACCACCCATGAACTTTACCTGTTCCTTTTAATTTTTCATGTGGTTTCTAAAAATTCTTAAGTTACAGATGTGGCCTTTCATTAATTTCTATTAGCCACTATTATTGTTATTTCTATTAGTCTTAGAGGACTGTCTTCCTTTCAAAGTTTAGGCTACCTCCTCATTAGTCAGGGTTCTCTAGAATACTGGTTCTCAACTTGTGTACTTGTGTGTTGAGAGTACTCTTGGGTTGCGAATCAGGTATTTCCATTATAATTCATAAAAGTAGTAAAATAACAGTTATGAAGTAGCAAGGAAATAGGTTTATGGTTGGGGGTCACCACAACATGAAAGGGTGGCGGGCATTAGGAAGGTTGAGAACCACTGCTCTACAGGAACAGAACAGATAGTATATATGATTTATTAGAGTGGTTTGTGGTTTACAGGCTGTGGGCCAACATGTTCGACAATAGCTGTCTCCCAAGAGAAAGTCCAAGAATCCAATGGTTGTGCAACCCACAGGCTAGCATCTCAGATGGTCTTCGGTATACACTGGAATACCAAGCAAGTAGGTTCTAACACTACTGAAGGAGTGCTTGTTCTGTGTCCTTTTATATTGGCTGCCACAAAGGCATGGCTCAGATTTAGGGTAGGTCTTCTGACCTCAAATGATCCAGTCAAGAAAAATCCTTCACAGGCATGTCCAGCTGCTTGGGTTTTAGTTGATCCCAGGTGTAGCCAAGTTGACAACCAAAATTAACCATCACTCACCTCAAGATAGGAAGATTATAACATCTAAATGTTTAAAATGAGGGCTGTGGCTCAGTGGGCATGATCCATGCCTAGCCTGCAGAAAGCCCTCAGCTAGATCCCTGGTGCTGCATATCCATTCATAACGGCACAAAAGGTGGAGCCAGGCCCATTAAGGGTTCAAGGCCAGCTTGAACTGTATTTGAGACAAACTACATGAGACCTTGTCTCAAAGTATTTAGAATAAACATTTTTAAACAGTTGTCATATTAACAATTTCCAGTTGTGAATAGCATGTGTATATTTTCGTTATTAACTCATGGCTATGCCTTCTACAGGTCAAGGGCAAGCGTGTCCTGGCAGGGCCATCACTAGTACACAGAGGAAACCTGTCCCTCAATCTCTCTTAGTCAGGGGTTAGATTACATACATCCTTTGTCACTCAAGGTTTGGGGGCGTGTCCTAGGCCTTGTGTATCAGAGTGGAATTGTCCAATCAAGCTGCCTATGGAGGGGAGGGGTGGGGCAGGTTGCTGCACTCTCGCGGTGTTTGGTTCTTTTCACTGTTCAGTCTTTGCTCAGGGTTCTTTTTCCTCAGCTGCTGTGTCTTTAGCTCACAGTAGTCAAAGGTGGCTCCACTGTAGCTAGTGTCCCTGTGAGGTGCAGACGACGCGGGACGCTAGAAATTCGGAAATGGTGAGCGTTCTGGCCAACGCTGGCCACATCCAATCAGAACCAGCCTCGGGGAAGGCCTCCGTAGCTGGAGTCAGCGGCCCGATCCCGCTGCTGTCCCCCGGTCCTATGTGGCCTGGGTGGCGGGTCCCCTCGTGTCCCATCGGCCCCCGCGGCGTCCTGAGCGACCCACCCCAGGACTTGGGGTGCTGACTTCTCGTGCGTCCCCGCCGGGCTGGCACGGCTGCTTTCCTGAGGCATGGGAAGCAGGGTCTCAATCCACTTTCCATCAGTCTGGCTGCTCCCGGGTTCACAGTGAATCCCCCAAATTCCAGGTTCTTCCTGTTTCAAGAGGCTTGAGGGCAAAACCCCAGCTAGTCTTGTGCCACCTGTCCCAGTGTGTCAGTTAGAGAGATGCGTAGTGGGAAGAGCCGAGAGTGGAGAGTGTCAATGTGGGAAGAGGGACAGATGAAGGGTCCAATGACACCCGCTGTCGCGTTCATCTTTAAGAGAAGCTTTAGCCTTAAACAGAGGAAGGCCAGACCAGAAACGAGCTTCAACAGCAGCCTCTTGCAAAGTGTGGCTCCACCCATCTTTGTCTCACTTAAGATCTCTAACTAGGGGTCTCGCTGGAGATAACTTCTGCTTCTGTGAGGTTTGTTCTTCCTTGGATTCTAGGTGACCTCAGGTTAAGGATCATAACTTCCCTCTGTGTCTTCAGCCTTGAAGATGAAGTAGGTCAGACAGACACAACTTGAATGATTACCTGCTTAGGTTGAACCAAAGTAAAGGAGGTAGTAGTCAGTGTGAAGGAAGAGATGGCAGACTTTCATCCCGCTTTTATTCGTGTGTGTGTTTGCACGTGTGTGTGTGTGTGTGTGTGTGTGTGTGTGTGTGTGTGTGTGTGTGTGTGTCTGTGGGGGTCGAAGGAGGGCCTTAGATCCTCTGGAGCTAAAGATACAGACAATTATGAGTTGCCCAAAGTTGCCACTAGAAATTGAATTCCAGTTCTCTGCAAGAGCGGCAAATGCTCTTAACCAATTGCAGCTTCCCCGCACCCCCAGCCGTTTCTAAGTGCCTGTTTCACTCCCGGTGTTCTCAAATGCCATCTTCTAGTGTAAGAGCTTTAAAAAGTGACAACCATTACTGTTTATTTTCCTTGCTAAAGAAAATAGTTTTCATTTCCCCTTAATACTGGTCCCAGGTTTCAGAACTGCTAGGGGCTGACAAGATTCTTAGAGCTGCCCTATGTCCTCTTAGACACCAGGCTTGGGTGAAGCCTCTCAGGGGAGCAGTTGGAGGCTCTGGTGCTTGAAGAATCTCCTAAGTAGTCCCCATCACAATAGTTAATTCTTAGAGACAGGGCCTCCCCCTAGACTTAGTTCCACTCCTAGGGCTCATTGTTTAGTTAGAGGCTGGTGAATGAGGGTGTGCAGAGTAGTATTTCCTGCCGTCTCCAGCCTCTCAGTTGTTCAGGAAGGAAACTTTCTCCCAAAGGATTAGAAAGAAAACTCCACTGCAGTGCAGGGGGACAGAAATCTGAAAAGCAAAGTAAGTATGCTTGAGTCATTGCCCGGACTCTCCCAAGGAGGTGTGATTGTTGAGTAGTCAGCAGCACTAGAGTGAGAGTAGGCCACACAGGACACTTGATCCTGTCAGGTCCGTATTGCCTTCAGAAATGCCCCTTTGACATATTCATCACCTTGAAATATTTGTTCATTTATTTGAAGGTCAACTTTACATTAAGTGTGACATATACTCAGCTGAGTAAGATAAAAGGTATATCTCTGGCTATCCTGGAACTCACTCTGTGGACCAGGCCGGAACTTAAAAAGCCATCTGTCTCTGAGTGCTGGGATTAGAGATGTGCATCACCACCCTCCGGCAAAGGATAATATTCTTGAAGCCAGAAAAAGCAGATTTCTACCAAAAGTAGAGTTTCATTTTCACTGAGTTTTTTTTTTTTTTTTTAATTTATTGCTTCCCTTGAGCATATATAGAAAAATTACTGAGCTCTCATGCCAAGGTGTGGGTGTGGAGATCAGAAGACAACTGTGAAGTTAGAAATTGAACTCATCACGTTTAGAAGTGCCTTGCCTGCTGAACCACCTTCCTAGCCCAAACACTGGGTTTATTTATTTTCTTATTGTAAGACATAGTCTCACTATATAGCCTGCCTGTCCTGGATCTTACCGTGGGATTAAAGGTGTATACCACCGCTTCCAGCCTTTTATTTTTTATTTCTTGATTATGTGTACATGTGAATTTCTGTACGAGAACAGTGCTCCTGGAAGCCAGAAGGTGTTAGATCCTCCTGAAACTGGAGTTACAGGCAATTCTGAGCTTGCTGATGTGCTAGAATCAAATCTACAAGAATGGTATGCACTCAACTGCTCAGCCATTGCTCCAGCCCCTCATTTGAATTTTTTTTTTTTTTGAGACAGTTCTAACTGGAATTCGCTCTGTAGACCAGGCTGGCCTCAGACTCACAGAGATCCACCTGTCTCTGCCTCCAAGTGCTGAGATTAAAGGCACGCACACCACCACCTGGCTATCCTCATTTGATTTCTTGATTACAAACTCATTGTTGCCTCCTCTGTTTCCCTAGTTGACACATGCTACGTTTCTCTTTGAAGTTCCTGAAAGTGGAAGATTAAATGGCTGATTTTAAATCTTTAAGAATGCATGAATTGGATGCTTTAAACTTGTCCTGTGTACTGCTTGTACTATATTCCACAACTTTTCATATGATGAACTTAAGTTTCTTTTCCTTGTACTATTCAGGTTCCTTCAGATGACTGTCTTTGATTCACATGTGATTTTGTACTTTATGATTTAATTTCCAGTTGTTTGGAGGGTTTCTAACTGTTTTTATGTTACTGGTTTCTGTTTAATGAGTACATGTTCGTTCTTAGAGTGTACTTTATGTACTCTGTTGTTATGGTGTGTTTGATTGCTCAGAATGTCATCTATCATTTAGTTGTGCTGTTAACTGAAGTGTTCTAGAAACATCAGTGAAATCCTTCTGGTTGATGTTGTTGAATAACACTATTACTATTACTGCTTTTTCTGATTACTGGATCTGTCAATTGCCCATAAGGAGTATTTTGGTGTTTCTAACTGTAATTATGAATTTCTCCATTGTTCATTTCAATTCTAGGAGTTTTTCCCTATGTAATTTGACCTTCTATTTTATGTTACATGTATTAAAGACAGCTGATCATTTAAAGTCTTTAGCATAGCATTTATTGACTGTAGAGTCAAATGTTTCTCAAACACAGTTTATCTCAGGCTGGAGAGATGGCTCAGATTAGGAGCACTGACTGCTCTTCCAGAGGTCCTGAGTTCAATTCCCAGCAACCACCCAGTGGCTTGTAATCATCTATAAGTGAGATTTGATGCCCCCTTCCGGTGTGTGGCATGCATGTAGGCAAAACACTGTATACTTAATAATTAAATCTTTAAAAACAAGAGATAGTTTATCTCAAAAACTTTCCTCATTGTATCTCTATTCTTGGTGGGGTTTTTTTCTTCCTTAACTGAAAAATGGACATTTGAAAATTCTAATATGAGATAAAGGAAAATTAGTTTCCCCACTTTCTCTATTATCTGTTCTTGTTTATTGAAGGCTGTGTCCATTTATTTAGTGAAAATACTGCCCAAGACATTTTCTTTTAAAACTTTTATTTTTCATTTATTTATTTAATTTTCATTTTTTTAAAGACAAGGTCTCTCTATGTATGTAGCCTTGTCTGGCTTGAACTCTCTCTGTAGACCAGGTTGGCTTCAAGCTCATAGAGATCTGCCTGCCTCTGTCTCCTGAGTGCTGGAATTAATGTGTGGGCCACCATACCCAACTCTTAAAAAAAAAAAAAAAAAAAAAATCTCTTTTTTAAAAAGACTCTTTGGTTTTTTTTTTTTAAGACAGGGCTTCTCTATGTAAACAGTCCTAGCTGTTCTGAAACTCCCAGAGACCCGTCTGACTCTGCCTCCCAAGTGCTGTGATTAAAGGTATGCCACCACCACCTAGCAAAAAATTGCTTTTATTCTATGTATATGGGTATTTTTTGACTGTGTATGTGTGTTTACCACATGCATGCAGTGCCCTTGGAGGCCAGAAGAGGACATTAGAAGCCCTAGAACTAAAATTACAGATGGCCTATTAGTTGCCGTGTGGGTACTAGGAATTGAACCTGGGTCCTTTCCAAACGCTTTTGAACTGCTATCTCTCCAGCCCCCATTTCCAAAATATTTTTGCAGAGACTATATTGCCTGCGAGTAGTCAGTTTCTGACGGTTCTGCTTGTACTTTTATGTTTCTGTGGAGGGATGTATGTTTGAAGCATCCCACAGCCATTTTCCTGACCACATTCTCCCTGAACTCTGTGGATGTTCATATATGTTCTTTGTGTTATTACTTATGCAGCAATACATAATGATCTTGGTTACTGTTGCTTTAAGAGGCAAGTTTTGGCATTAAGAAGCACTAGTTTTACTGTGTTCTTTCTTAGGATTCTGAGTTCCTTATAATTTCATATGAAAATTTGTATTGGTTTTTCAATTCCTATAAGTTAGTCAGTCAGGATTCTTAATCACTCTAACACTTTGATTTTTAGAATTCCTCCCAAATCCTGAAGCCCCTGATAACACCAACAAAGGTCCAATTTTGTGAGTAGTCATTTCTAATAATAAGAACTCGAACTCTCACAATACAAATATTAGCATTGTTTTGTAGAGCAGATAGTAGGATTTATTGATAACATGTACTGGAGATGTACTATATATACAATGATAAATTAGGGATAACCAGGAAACATCTTACTCCCTTGATTTACCAATAAGTAGAGTGTTTTTACTCTGCCATTGTTTTCTGAGAGCTTCCATTCAATTGTAATATTAATACGGCTGCATGTGAACAACTGCATACATAAAGTAAAACTTTTAATTGACCAAATCATGGAATGAATATTTGGAAAACATTAAATCATATGAACATCTACATACAGAGTATAGATTCCTAGTGGTATAAGTTTTACCCAGCCTCCAATCCACATTGTGGGATATTTTAGAACTCAGTGGCCTTTGACGATGTGGCTATAAACTTCACCCAGGAAGAGTGGGCTTTGTTGGATCCTTCCCAGAAGAATCTCTACACAGATGTGATGCAAGAAGTCTTTAGGAACCTGACTTCTATAGGTAAGGATGATAACATTTCTTTACATAATAATAATAATAATAATAATAATAATAATAATAATAAACCTAGGAAATTTTTTGTTAATTTGCAAAGAAGAAAGGGGCTACTTTTTATGAATAAATGGGCATATTTTCAGTGTACAGTGAACTTCAAAGCTGCTGTTAATTTTTTGAAGTTCCTAATTAATAGTGCTTTTCCTTGGTCTATATTTTAGAGAATGGGTGGGAAGACCAGAACATTGAGGAAGACAAAAATCCTGAGATAAATCTAAGGTAATTTGTATTCACAAAAGGGTATGATGTTCCTTGAGGGATCTTTAGCATGTCATTGTAAACTTTGGTAAGCATACTAAACAAATAAGCACAACTTTAAGCATTTATTACTAGTTTGCCATTTTTCCTTTTTTTTTTTTCCAGTTTAATAGAGATCTGTGATTTCAAGATAGTTGACTTCCACATAGTACTATATGAACATCACTATTTTGATAATAGATTTGGGAAAGACATGTTTCAGAGAGATTATTCCATTTATTCCCTAATAATTAAGGCATGCCAGGACACCTGAACTTCTTCTGATATTGGTTATGTTATAATGTAGGTCCAAGACATTAATGAATAAAGAAAATCAGCAATAAACCAAACATCAATAATGTGCTTGTCTTTTTTGTACAGAACTCATATGGTAGATTCTGTACAAGTAAAGATTATAAAAATCAATGTGGGCAGACTTTCAGTGAGATTCCAAATCTTGTTTGTTTTTTGAGACAGGGTTTTACAGTGTAGCCCTGGCTTTCCAGGAACTCATACTATAGACCAGGCTAACCTCAAATTCAGAGATTCCCCCTGCCTCTGCCTCCCAAGTGTTGGAATTAAAGGCGTGTGCCACCACTGCCTGGCTGAGATTCTAAATCTTAATCTGAAAAAAAGGAAGAAAATAAAAGTTCTTAGTTGAGTAAAACCATGTAAATGTTTCTTGTCTGGAAAAGTCTTTATATGTTGTTCATTCCTTAATAGGCACGTCATTACTGACTCTGGATACAACCTATGTGAAAGTGAAGAATATTCAGAGAAGCCATATAAATTTACACAATATAGGAACTCTTTCATTTCTCTTATGAGTATTCAAAGACATATGATAATGGAAACTGGAAGTAAACCTTATAAATGTATGCTATGTGGGAAAGCCTTTCATTTCCCCAGTGAATTTAGAATACATCTAAGAACGCATACAGGAGAGAAACCTTATGAATGTAAACAATGTGGTAAAGCTTTCAGTCATTCCAGTTCCTTTAGAAAACACGAGAGAACTCATACAGGAGAGAGGCCCTATGTGTGTAAACAATGTGGGAAAGCCTTTAATTGTTCTGGTTCCATCCGAAAACATGAAAGAACTCATACCGGAGAGAAGCCCTATGAATGTAAACAGTGTGGAAAAGCCTTCAACTGTCCCAGTTATCTTCAGATTCATGAAAGAAGTCACACTGGAGAGAAGCCCTATGAATGTAAACAGTGTGATAAAACATTCAGTTGTTCCAGCTCCCTTCGAAAACATGAAAGAACTCACACTGGAGAGAAGCCTTATGAATGTAAACAGTGTGGGAAAGCCTTCAGCTGTTCCAGCTCCTTTCGAAAGCATGAACGAACTCATACTGGGGAGAAGCCCTATGAATGCAAACAGTGTGGTAAGGCCTTCTTTTCTCTCACAAGTGTTCGAACACACATGATAAAACACACTGGAAATGGGCCTTTTAAATGCAATGTGTGTGAGGAAGTGTTCCCTTTTTCCAGTGTATTTAGAAGACATCAAACATCTCATGCTGGAGAGAAGCCCTATAAATGTAAACAATGTAGTAAATGGTTTAGTTCTCCCACTTCACTTCAAATACATGAAAGAACTCATAATGGGGAAAAACCCTATGTGTGTAAGCAATGTGGGAAAGCATTCAGTTGTCCCAGTTACATTCGAAAACATGAACGAACTCATACTGGGGGAAAATCCTATCCATGTAAACAGTGTGGCAAGTGGTTTAGTGCTTCCAGTTCTCTTCAAATACATGAAAGAATCCATACTGGAGAAAAACCCTATAAATGTAAACAATGTGATAGAGCATTCAGTCGATCCACTTCCATTCGAAAACATGAGCAAACTCATACTGGGGAGAAACCCTATGAGTATAATGTGGGAAAGCCTTCACTTCCAGTTGAAATTGATTATTAAATAGCAGTCTTATGAATTTAAATTTTGGTAAATCCTCAATTTCTCTCATAGGCTTTTGAATAAAAATGATAAAGCATACTGGAAATGGACCTTTTAAATGTGAGGTATGTCAAAAGCCTTTCATAGTCCCAGCATATTTAGAGCACATCAAATAACGCATGCAGGAAAGAAACAAAGTGAAAGTAAACATTGTGGTAAATCCTTCACTTCTCCCAGGTATCCTCAAAACCATAAAGGATTTATGTTGGAGATTATCCCTACTAATGAAAGCAATGGAGAATCACGTATTACAATTGCCTTTGTAAACATGAATGAACTTGTACTAGATAAACATCCTTTGAGTACAAATAAATACGGTAAATATGCCATTTCCCCATTTGCCTTCAAAGGAATTAAAATACTCATTGGACAACAAATCATCAGGAAGTAATTGTAGGAATATAAAAAAAGAGTTGATTCTTTTAAAGGACACAAAAAGATTCACACTGGATAATAGCCCTATGTATGTGAGAAAAAATGGTTAAGCCTTCAGATGCCCCAGTTCTTTTGGATTATATGAAAGACTACATATCAGATAAAACAGTATAATAGGAATGTGGGGGAAGCATTCAAGTTTTCAGTTTTCTTTAAAGGGGGAAAAAAGGCCCATAGCTCTAAGTAATATGGTTAGGCTTTCAATTTTTACAGTTCTTTTTGAAAACCACGGAAGAACTCTGGATAAAAGGCTGAATGTAAGAAATGTCCAGCCTTTAGTTTTTCTATTTTCATTCAAAGACATGAAAGAACTTGTTTAGAAAGACTGTTGGGTATGCAGAAAGTCTCCCAACTTCATTTCTCATTGAAAGGTACATGATAATGCACACTAGAGATGAATATGCATTACCTTAACTTTACAATGTGAAAACATTGCTTTTCTGGGTTAAAGCATGGAATGTGTCTTTTTATATTAGATAAAATTTTGTAGTATTTTGTTGAGACTTTTTACAATTGTACTCAGATTTATGTATCTTGGTATAATATATAGTATAGTATTATTTAGTACATACAGTGTATGCATGCGTATATGTGTATCTATAGGATACAAATAGTTTGTACATTGATTAGTATAATATAACTAGTTTATACAGTATATAATTAAAATACATGCAACCACTATTTTACTATATAATAGTGTTCTACATTGGTTATGCTATTGAAATCTTATCAATGTGTAGAATAAAGCATTTCAGTTACCCACACCATTCCCCATCCCCAGCTACTTCTTGCTCCAGGACCATGATTACCAGGATCCCTAATATTCAGCACCAGCTGTTTTCATCAGGTGGAATCCAGGGATGGCTTCCTTTACCAACCCATGGCCTTAGAACTACAGCTGATATCAACTGGTTGTGGTACTGGACACCTTGATTCCCTAAACTAGAGAGGCAGAGACAGTAGGGTCTCTGTGAGTTTGAGGCCAGCCTGATCTGCATAGTGAGCTCCATGATAGCCATGGATATTAAAAAACTCAAACCCAAAATCTTCAGCATCATCCATTCTTGTCCCTGCAGACTAAGTAAGGTCCTATTCTGCAGCTCTGGGAATATGGTTATCAAAGCTTTAGACCAGGTCCCCACAAAACTACTAATATATGATCTATAGACATCCCTATCTACATCCTGTAGGATTGCACATACCAAAGTTTTAAAGCCTAGCACCATCTTTACTCAAGGGAGGTAAGAAGATCTTTCCTGCAAGAGATTGGACACCAGAATCAAATCCAAATAGTGTCCCATAGTGCTTAGGGAAGTTTTTCAGAGCAATAGACTTGAGAGATTCTGAAAAAAGCCGTGGCGCTGCTTGGGCTTATACTATGAGGCTTCCTGCCTTCTGCCCCATCTATGTCTCATATTCACAATAAGAATGCCCCACTACCTGCTTCATCTCACAGCTAAGGAAGGTGCCTTTTGTGTTTCAAAATCCAGATTCTGGGATTACTATGTCACACACTACAGCCTTATCTCACAGGACCTGGTAAAGGTTCCATGGCATCCTGTGACATCAGAACTTTGGCCAATGGTCCCACAATCCAATGCGTCTCCTGCATTTATCTTGGGTCCCAAGGAAGGTCTTCACATGGCTGTGAAGTGTCAGCCCATGGCATCACCTGTATTTGTCCTTAGGTGCAGCTCAGGATAGTTTTCAGTATCCTGTAACACAACTAATGGCAGTTGCCACCAAAACATCTATCATTGTTCCAGCCTTTAATGCCCGAGAATCCACACAACTTTGGATGCCTATACTTACTACATAATTATACAACTTTTTATGAACTGCTGTGGTCTAGACTATCAGGATACTCATGGACACTATTGACAACAAGCAAAGATGAAGAAAACACACAGGCTGTGGCCAGTTACAGGCAAAGATTGGAGTCTTAAAGGGTACCCTACAAGGAATTATACAGGGATGTAGGTAGGATTACAAGTAGAGAAAGTTAATAAGGAAGAGTATATCTCAGAAGAGGGGTGGGCCATAGCTGGGGAGAAAGGCTAGAAGCCAAATGTTCCCATTAACTAGTATATTAGGATCTTCATATATTATACAGTGTGCTCTTCTTGTAAGTATGCTTAAGCATCAGTTGGGGGTGGCCTTTCCCTGAATATTTTTCTGAATATTTTTCCTGTTTTTTTTTTTTTATCACTTTTCTTTTATATAGTAATTTATATAACATAAATTTTATATGCTCTGCTCTACTGCCACTATCACACCTGATGGCTGTGGGATCATAGACATTTGCATATTTATTTCCCCATGTCTCAATGGCCTTTTCACCAGCAAAGCAAGAGATCACCCTAAGCATCAGGGTAAGTATATAAATCTGGCTGTGACTAAGACATAGATTTGCAAACTTGGGTCTATGTGACCAGAAATTCTGACTGCTGCAGAGAAAAGTACAGGGATTTCTACTTGGGAGCTATGGTTGGATTCTTGGGAGGAAAAGTTGGATGGACAGCCTGTGTGTGGATGAGTAGGGGATGGGACAGGGACTGTGTGACAGGGTATGGAGGATCACTCACTGTCTGCTGCCTCTCAGATTGCTTTGGTTGTTTTTTCCAGTCTCGGTTTCTCAGGCATTTGGTAGAAATACAGCCACTTCTTGGGAATTTCCCCACATGCACTGGCAGATCATGCTTGGTGTGAAGAAACAGCTAGCTGGGTGTGGTCTTCGGGTGAGTCACCATGACTGGAAGGCAGCTCCCATATTCTCCCCCATTGCAAGCCTGCCTGCATACAGAGATCACTTGTATATTTTGAGCACCACGGAGGTCATTGTCTAAGCTTGCATGTCCTAGCTCACAAGACAGAACCTGGCACCATACCACACTCTGTCCTGTGTGGATCCTAGGGAAAATGACTCATCACTCTCCTGCCATGCCTTGTCAGCTCCAACATTGAGAAGGAACAGAAAAAAGTGGAGCCTTACCCTGGCTCCTCAGCAAGAAGGAAGTAACACCTGATGATTGCCACTTCTTCTTGCTGTGCTTTGTTGTGTTTGTTCCATTCTCTATCACTCACACTCTTCCTGTGTGAATCTGCCAATTAGGTTTGTTTCCTGCAGGCAACAAACAGTTGTTTTTGTTTGTTTGGGTCTCTCTACATAGCACTGGCTGTCTTGGAATTCACTATGTCGACTAGGCTGGCATGGAACTCACAGAGATCTGTCTCTGCCTCCTGAGTGCTGGGATTAAAGGCATGAGCCTTGATGCCAGGCCATTTTTTGGTCTTTTTCCTTTCAGATAGGGTCTTATGTAGCCTTAAGGCCCCAAAGATAGAGCCTTAAACTTCTGGGATTATAGATATGCACCATCATGCTTGATCTGTTCAATACTGGGAATCAAACCCAGGACTTTATGCATGCAAGGCAAGTGCTCTACCAACTAAAGTGCTTTACAGCCCCTGCCCAGATGTTGTTTTCTGGGGCTGGAAAATAGTTCAGTTGGTAAAGTGCTTGCTGTGCAAGCATGAGGACCTGAGTTTAGCTCCCCAACACTCGTATTTAAAAAACAAACAAACAAACAAACAAAAAACTGGATATGGCAATGCATGTGTGTAATTCAGTGCTAGTGAGGTAGAGAAAGTCGGATCCCTAGATCTTAGTAGCTAACCACTGTAGCTGAATCAATAAACTGCAAGTTCAGTGAGATATTGTCTGAAAAAATAAGGGAGAAACAATTGAGGAAGACACCCAGTGTCGTTCTTATTAGTTATAGGTTATAGGATAAAGTTGGAGAAGGGTGTGGGGTGGTGTCCCAAATGGGGGTCCCAAGGTAAGGGACCACGTAGGAGAGCATAGCAGGTTCCATAGTAGGTGAGGGTGACTGAGGGCGGAGGGAATAACATGCCAGGCAAACCGAGCTTAAGTGAGAAGTTTATTTAAAAGGGGGAATGAGGGAAGAGAGACCTAAGAGACACTGGGAACAGAAGAGAGGTGAGAAGAGCCAGAAGGAAACAGAGCAAAGAGAAAAAGAAAGCATATGTGGGCGGGGGTCTGTCTTTTAAAGGGGTCCTTTACACCTGAGTGCAGATAGTTCTCATGGAACCCTGGGCTGACCAGAGTATTGCCTGAGTGCATTCTGCCAGGTGACGGGCAGGCCAGCATAAAGCCTGAATCCTTACATGCAGCATTGACACTATCTGTGTGGGTCAGTGCTCTGGGAAAGTAAATAATTTTTACATATTGTTGAGGATAGAAAGTGGTCCAATAAGCGTTAGAGCCCATCTTTATTCATCTTAAGCCTTTCTTTTTCTTTTCTTTTTTTCTTTTTCTTTTTCTTTTTTTTTTTTGAGACGGGTTTCTCTGTGTAGCTTTGGAACCTGTCTTGGAATTTGCTCTGTAAACCAGGCTGGTCTCAAACTCATTGAGATCTATTTGCCTCTGCCTCCCAAGTGCTGGAATTAATGGTGTGCACCACAACCATCTAGCAGTTAAAGGCATTAAAAAAATTTTTTTTGAAATTTTTATCTAAAATTTTTGTTTTCATTTTACATACTAGCTCCAGTTCCCCCTCCCTCCCCTTCTCCCACCCCCAACCATCCCATTCCCCAGAATGGGTAAGCCTCTCTAGGGGAGTCAATAATGCCTGGCATATCAAGTTGAGGCAGAACTAAACTCATACCCCACCCTGTATCAAGGCTGAGCAAGGTATCCCACCATAGGGAGTGGGCTCCAAAAAGTCAGTTCATGCATCCAAAATAAGTCCTGAATGCTGCTGATGACAGCTTATGCTGGAGAGGATGTGAAATAAGGGGAACACTCCTTCATTGCTGGTGGGAGTGCAAACTTGTACAGCCACTTTGGAAATCAGATAGCAGTTTCTCAGAAAATTGGGAGTCAGTTTTCCTTAAAGACCACCAGTACCACTCTTGGGAATATACCCAATAGATGCACAGTCATACCACAAGGACATTTGCTATGTTTATAGCAGTATTATTTGTAATAGCTAGCTAGAACCTGGAAACAACTTAGGTTAAAAGCATTCTTGATGAGGCATAAAAAGGATTACACAGCAGTAAGCTGAAGCTTCTGAAATGAGTGGCTAAAACTTGCCATGGATCTGACTGGGAATTGAACCCAGGTCACTGTAATTAAGACACAGAATCAAACCATACTAGCAGGAAGATGCATGGCTTTGGCGCCAAAAGATAGCTAATGTATGTGAAATCTCTACTTTTATTTGACCAAGAATTATAATAGAATATCTTAAGTTTCTGTTGTGATAAAACACTGACCAAAAGCCACTTGGGGAGTGTTTCAGTTACTTTTGTACTGATGTGACAAAATGCCATAACCAAGGCAACTTATGAAACAAAGAATTTAGCTGGGTGGGGGTGGTGCATGTCCTTAATCCTAGCACTCAGGAGGCAGAAGCAAAGATACACAGAGAAACCCTGTCTAGAAAAACCAAAAAAAAAAAAAAAATTTGTTCAGGCTTACAGTTCCAGAGGGCTACAGACCACGGGGATCATGGTAGCAGACAGGCTTGGTGCTGGAGCAGAAACTGGGCGCTTATATACTTTCCCAAAAGTAAGAGACAGAGAACTAATTGGGACTAGGATGGTCTTTTTGAACCCTCAAAGCCCACGCCAGTGACACATTTCCTCCAATAAAAACACACCCTAATCCTTCTCGAACAGTTCTACCAACTAGAGACCAAGCATTCAAACACATGAGCCTATGGGGATCATTCTTATTCAAACCACCACAGGTAGGGACATGCTTATTTCATTTTACATTTCCAGGTGATAGGAGCTCAAACAGAGCAGGAATCTGGAGGCAGGAACTAAAAGAGAAGCCATGGAGGAGCTCTGCTCACTGGTGTGCTTTTAGCTTGCTTAGTTTGGCTTCTTACATACTGCAGTCCTATCTGCCCAGGGTGGTACTTACCCAGTGGGTTTGACCTTCCCACCTCAATCATTACTTAAGAAAATGCTCCACAGATTTGTCCATGTGTCAATCTTAGGGAGGCATTTTCTTAATTATCTTTATTTAAAGATATGTGTAGGTTTGTGTCAAGTTGACAAAAACTAACCAGTACACAGAGCAATATGGAAATATACTTTAGCATACAAACCTTAATTATATGTATGACAAAATGGAACAGGTTAAGGTAATTTGTTCATAGACTAATTTAATCATGGGTAAACTCTGGACCAAACTTTTCAAGTGAAATTAAGGTCTAAGCTTTTATTTAGAGCTCATTCCATCCAATTCCTTTTCCTTTAGTCTCAAATGAGTTTAGGAGTTAATTCTTAGATGTTTGTTTCAGCTAGGAGTGGATGAAACCAATTAAAAACTCAACCTAGAATTAAAACTTATTTTCCCCCAAGATAGGGTTTCTCTTTGTGCAATCAATAGCTTTGGTTATCCTGGAACTTTCTCTGTAGACCAGGCTGGCCTCGAACTCAGAGATCTGCCTGCCTCTGCCTCAAGTGCTGAGATTAAAGACATGTGTCACCACCACCCACTTCCTATTACAATTTTTAAAGCACAATAATAAATGAGTCATAACAGAACTGTAACAATGTAAGCTGCATGAATGTGGTCAAAATATCTGTTTTCATTTAATTATTATTTCTGAATCACAGTAGGATGTTGACAATGGGTAGTGGAAGCCAGACTGGTGGAGAGAGGGTTTTTAGCTCTTTCTTTCATATTAAATCACTAATGTTCTTACTTGCATTTTGCCCATTTTTCTTACTCCATCTCAACTGTTCAGAACAGCTGTGGAACCCACTCATTACCCTTAGTCAGATTCTGACCTGGGTAATGTGGGCTTGTCTCCATTTCTGCAAACAGAGGTTGAACACCTTGGCCAATAGTTGGGGCTAGACCCAAGAGCATTGCATTGCAGAGAGCAAGGCCTTCTTGGGATTAGGATGTTTTCCTTTCATTAATGCTTTACAAGTGTTGGGATAACTAGGTGGAAGATATTTAACTGTCAATCCAAATAATCTTCCAAAAGACATTACTTCTTATGAATAGCAGTCTCACAATGGAAACACGTGCCAGTAAACTAAGGTTGTACCCATGGTGGTTGGGGCAACGTGAAGTTGCAAAGGCAAAATAAGGAGATTATATATCTAAGTTTTGGCTACAAAAATCAGCAACAAGAGTGGCAATAGTCCAGGGCTGGACAGATAGCTACTGAGCTGTCCTTACACAAGTATCAAATTGTGGCACAAACTAGGGTTTTAGCAGTCTGTGAGGTAGACAGACCCCCCCCCCCTCTTTCCACTTTCACATGGATTCCAGGGTTCAAACTCAGGTCAACAGACTTGCACAGCAAGCACCTTTACCTGCTGAGCTGTGTAACATGGGTCCCCCTCCAGGCTTGTTAGTCTGACTGGGGACTTATTATCATTCTAGTTATGATGGTCATAGGAGTAAATAGTAACTACTGTCTGTCAACATGGCTCAGGGTGTTAACTTTTCTTAATTTTGCCAATCTAGTAAGGGAGTAAATTGCCCCCATTAAGTTGCTGGGCCACTTGTGTGATGTGTCTCCACATCTGGTAGCCAAAGCCCCAGATAGTACACCCCTAGCCAGAAGCTCAAAGGCAGAGCCTAGGCAAGCTTATTTTCCTGGTCATGTTTGAGGATTCCCTGGGACAATGTTGCTGGTAAAGTCTCTGAAACAGACGGTATTATTATTTAGCTGGCAAAGAGCTTGAAGTTATTAATAAATAAATAAATAATTTTCTCGCCACTGATTCTACATCTAACACCAAGAGAGAGGCTCCTACCCATTGAGCTTCAGTAGCTCCACAGTCCCAATCAAGAGGAGGCCTGCTCTGTGTGATGGGCAGGGCAGATACACGTGCTCGGCCCCTACCTAAGTGCTTACACTTACCTAGTCTGCAGGACTGCAGCTTACAGGGTAAATTAGCACTAGTGTCACTCTGCAGGGCACCGCCAGTTGCGCCTTGAAAAGAGTGCTCTAAGCCTCAAGTGGCTCCTCCAAAAACATCCCCAGGAGGCTTTACCTAGAGGGTCCTCCTAGGAATGACAGGCTGTGTCCCTGGCACCAGGCCCTGCATAAAAACTCTACAAAGGCTATGGCCAATTCTGCTTACAATTGTCTTCTATGAGGCCCCACCCCAGACCATGAAATCTTCAGGTTTAGGCAAAGCTACTGTCTCCAAAAATGGCCAACACTGTATGTATAGCTGTGCCTCATCCTGGTGGTCCATGCTGGGGCCCAGAGTAAGCAGTTAGCTCTCACACAGGCTGTGCACCTCTGCCTTCAGCCACAATCCCTACTCCTAGAAACAGCGAATATGGTGACAAGCACGTGTCAGAAGTATAGGATATCATGTGGCCCCATGCAGGCCATTAAGCAATGGCTTGTCTCTATCTCAGAGAAAATGCATAGGCAATGAGCATAGCCAATAGAAGGTACTGCCTTATCCAGCACCAACCTGAAACTGGATGTGTCTGTCTCCTCTACAGAAATCCCTATACTTTTGCTTTGGGTTTGGCCCTATGCCCTCTAGGGCAGAAGATGGGCTAGCATAGGCACCCAGGCCTTGAAGGAGTGCTGTGGGGAAAGAACACCACTACCCCCTAGTCTTGTACCATCATCTCCATCCAAGGGGACTTGGCTAGATCAGTACTTGGGTTTTTCAGCCACCTAGCACTGTGCCTCCAGCCATAGGGGAACAACACACAGCTTAAAAAGTCCCCTGCAACTTGCTATACCCTGGTTAACTCTTCCTAGTCCACCCAGCTGCTGCAGCTCCCGGGACAGAACTAGAGGATGCAGAGGCTTGGAACTGCATATATACTATCTATGTCCCAGGTCACACAGAGACACCTCCAAGGTAGGCAGACTGGATATCCACTATTCAGGAGTCCTAGGATCACTAGGAGAGGCTGGAAGGCATCAAGAAAACCTGGTATCATGATCACTACTCAATTCAAATTCTTGGCAGGCTTGCTCTAGGCCAAATGGGTAAACATCCCTCTAGACCCCGTGAGTTAAACTCCCATTTTGGCTGGACCCTCCTCAAGATGCAGGGCCTAGATGCTGGGAAGCAGTACTAGATGGGCAAGACTTTATCAGCCCACCCTGCAAGAACTGCACCTGCATAGCCTTGGAGCACATCCTAGGCCTCAAGGAAGGTTAGCCTGTACTTCAGAAGGGCCCTTGGGCAAAGAGGCTACCCTTCAGAACTCTCCCTATATCATGTCCTATAGACTAGTACTAAAGGGCCTCCACAGCAACCATGGTGTCCTTCAGCTGCTGAAGCAGCTCCTTTGGCTGTGGTGAGAATGCACTGGTGTCCACTCTCTGAAAGTCGGTATGTGCAACCACAGAGGCCAGCACATCTGCAAGGCGGCCAACATCAAATGCAGCCTGCTGCAGGTCCAGCCCTAGGCTCATGCTGTCCCCTGTATCCCCCTTCAGTCCTTGCTTCAGAACGAGAAGCCTCTTCTCAGCAATGACCTTGAGGAAATGGTAAAATTCTTCAAAATTGATCCCCGTGCAGGACTTCATAATGACCTGGCCAAGAGGAAAGGGCAGGTAAGTCCTGGGCTCACATCTAGACTCAGACTGCAAAGATCCCTCCCACACACCAAGGGGCTAAGATGGGACCCAGAGACAAAGGGGCAGAGTCAGGATAGTGGGCACTGCATCTGAGTCATGAAGCTTGGCCCTGGCATCTGTACTGGATCCACAGCTGACCCAACATGGGCTGGTTGCTTCCCACCTGACAGTGGTGGTGCCAATCAGGCATGGAGTCCTTCCATTCTCTGATCTCCTGCTGTACTGCCTGGAGTTCTTGCTGCAGGAAGTGCCACATGTTTGCCAGGTTGCAGCCATTGACCCAGTTGTGGTTGATAGAGATGGTGTCATCCTGGAGGGCAGAGGACAAGCTCCATGAGGCAACAGCAGGCATTACCTTTGGTGATCAGATCAAATCCCACTCCATGCCCACCAGGCTCTGGGCTTTGGATGGGTGTGAGATGTTTGTTTGTTTGTTGTTTTGGGGCAGGATTTCTCTGTGTAGCTTTGGAGCCTATCCTGGCACTCACTCTGTAGACCAGGCTGGCCTCAAACTCAGATATCTGCCTGCCTCTGCCTCCCGTGTGCTGGATTAAAGGTATGTGCCACCACCACCCAGCAAGTGTGAGAGTTTTAACTGTCATCTTGACACAATGTAGATTTACCTGAGAAGATAATCTCCATGAAGGAGCTGTCTACAGTGGCAGAAAAACTGAGCCGAGCACAAATAAGAAAGTAAACATACATTCCTTCATTTCTCTAGTCTTGACTGTGGATGTGATGTGACTAGTCATTTGAAGTTCCTGCCTTGACTTCCCCACGATGATAAACTGTAATTTGGAATAAACCCTTACTCCCTTAAGTTACTTTTTGTCAGAGTATTTTGTCACAACAACAGAAATGAAACAATAGTGGGCAAAGGTAGAAAATAGACATTTAGCCATGGCAGCCAGGAAATACTAATCCCATCTCATGATGGGGCCAATACACTGGAACAAGAGCTAGAGGAACCAAGTTAGAATAGGGCAAGGGGATACATTCTTCATAGTGTTACTTGTGGCTTCCTACACTACATCCAGCCTTTGCAGGGGAATAATACTGCCTTCTTTCCACAGAGGCAGTTGGGAATATAGAGGGAGGGAGCCTGGCAGAAGCAGGGTCATATGCACTGTCTTACCAGATTGTATACTTGATGGTGCCACCCGCTGGGCACAAATATCATCTCACCAGCCTCCTGTATGACTTCAAGGGGTAGGCTGCTGTGCTGGATCCTGGGATACAGGCGAGTGTCCAGGAGCTCGGCAGAAGTCACATCATAGGGCAGGTTACCACGGCAGTCCCGAAGGGCCTCCTCCTGCCCTGGCGGGAAGAACAACCATTTCTTCCTTCCACAGATGTTCACTGACCAGCTGAAGGAGCGGAAGATGTCCGCATGGAAGGGAGACCTACAGCAAGGGCTTTTGGTTTGTGTCTTATGGAGTCCTGTGTGGACCCTGGTGTTTTTGATAGCCTCTAGGCAGATGCCCCAGATGGTCACACCTCCCATCTCATCTTCACCATGTACCCAAGTCCCTTCTGTCATTACCAGGTGCCCTTGGGCCCAGCATAGACAAAGCGGTAGTCATCCACATTGAGGACGTCCCAGAACTCGTTCAGCCAGTCTGATGAGAAGTACACAGGCAGGGTGAATATATCTTCTAAGTCATCCACCAAGGAATCTCTGAGGGAAGCACAGGAGTTATATTGTACTAATCTACCCTGTGCCTCATCCCAGCAGGCCCACACATATGAAAAGGGCCACCTAAGATCACCCAGCCCTAGTGGGAGATCTACCCAGCTTGACAATAGTAGATCCTGAGGACATGAGCTGAATCTCAAGTTACTTAGGTCAAAATGCTTAAGATAAAATGACTTTGGGGGCACCTTGGCATAAGCACTCCACTTAGGCAGTGGTTGATGGGGCTCTGAACACATGGTAAGCATCATCCCAGTTCCTGAGCCATGGGCCTCCTCCATTTTATCACCAGTACTAGAGAGTGTAACACTGTCTGGCAACTCCAGGCTGTAGCCCTAGGTGTGTGAGCCTCAAAACCCATCATTGGGTCCCCAAACACTGGATCATATTAACCCCAGCCTCAGAGAAGGCACACAACTCGGTCAACATCATGCTGAGAAGAAAAGCTTCTAGATTCATGTGCCTGTAACTCCCAACAAGAGACAGAGATAACAACAACTTATCTGTAGGTCCCTAAACATCAGGATCGCCTGCCCCTGAGCCTCAGCAAACTATTAAAATTGGCTCAGGCATTGATCCCTGGTGGCCTCCTGATTATGCCACTTCATGCCTTCTTCTGCCCATTCTGGTTTCACGGTCTTCCAGAAAACAGTATAAGCAAACACAGGACTTAAATAAAATGAACAAGTTTTCAGCCTAAATGTGCCTCCCCAAACAAGAAACAAAACAACCCAACTCAAATGTTTACCTAAAATTTCAAACTATTACACAAGACAGTATTTAGGCCTCTGAGTCCGTCTGTAGATGTTCAAACATTATACAGATCCAGGACCAGTGGCTGGTCACACTTTAGCCACCTTCTGCATAGGTCATCTTTCTGCCCAAACGAGAAATAGTATGATAGGGTAGCTGGAGGCTGGTGTTTCTTTTGCACCTGGTCAGGTGTGGAAACTGCAGGGGCCTGAAATCCCATCCTACTCTACAGCACCGAGTCTCATTTTGCACACAAGTGGTACAGGAATTCAACTGTTCACTGGGCCTTCTGAGCACAACCATCTGTGCTTGTGAAAGGCACACCACACAGAGAAAACACACAGCCCCAGGGCCACCATGGAAAGAAATGATGCTCTTCCCAAAGTGAGCAAGCATCATGTGGGCTGGGTCTTAGGTGCAACCAAAAATCCTGAGATGTAGTGGGCTCCTCAGCTTACAATGGGCTTATGTACTGACATGTCCAAGCTGGAAATACCATAAGTTTAACAATGTACTGATAGTATGTGTTTAGATGCTCAAGAATTTAGCATTACCAGTTCCAAAAAGAAAAAAAGGCAGAAGTGTGCCTAAATGCACAACCACTGTAGCGTAGCACAACAGTGGTGCACACTACAGAGGCGTGATCATTTCAGTAGACCCTGGGGTTGGATGGGGGCGTGGCTTCTTAACACTGTCCAATAGAGAGAGAAGGGAAGAAGCACACCACATCCAGCTAGCCCTGGAAATGGCAAAATTGGAATCTCGAAGTAGTTACTACTGAGTAAAAAAAATCTCCTAAGCAAAGCAGCTGCAAGTTGATGTGTGAGAAAAGTAGAGGCTAATCAGGGAGGGTGCTGAAAGCCTCTTTAAGGAATAAGGGGTTTTCAAAGTGAGGCAAGGGTGGTTGTAGAAAGCTCACTTGTTCCTTTTGAAAGCCTAGAATGGGCCAGGTGATGGCAAGAATCCCCAGAACCACCATGGAAGGAACAAGCCTGTCCTCAGTGGGGTTGGGGAGAGGGCAATCCCAGAGATCTGAGAGGAACAGAGGAGGCCACCTATACCCATACAAGATCCACACAAGACTTACTTTCCTCCTGATGGTGGAGGACACCTGGGCTGATATGGTGAGCTTACCAAAGAGCCACCCTCCTACCAGCTCTGAGATAGACCAGAACTCTGCTGTGGAGGGAGCCCCTCTGAGTGCAGTAGGAATGCTCTACCAAGAAGAGGCCTGCACTCTCTGCTTAGTGCCCAGCAGTCATCTGGCAGCCCGCCCCATTACCTGCACAGGTGCCAGTCCTTGAGGTAGAGGCAGCCGCGCGGTGAGGAGTAGCCTCCTTGGATGTACTCCTTCCAGTAACTGATATAGTCACGGAAGGGCATGTGCTCCTTGGGGTTTGCATTGTATTCCCGCACTCCGCAGTTAGCAACTGGTACAACCACGTCTCCTACAGTGAGAGGGTCGGTATAGAAGTGGTAGAGTCATACGTGTAGTTCACCCCCTTGGGCTCCGGCCACCCTCTAGGCGAATTATCCAGATCCCACTCGTCTGTTCGGTCCTGGCCACCCTCCCATCCCGGGGTCTATATCTCTGCTCCGAGTTCCCCAGGTCTGCCCGCCTGCGCCCTACCATACTTCCGCAGCAGATACTCGAAGTCAGGCTTCCCCGCCGATGTCACCCAGCGTCGCCGGCTGCCCCAGCCCTCAGTGAAGGCGCTGGAAAACACGCAGGGCAGGTTAGGCAGCAAGAAGCCCTTCACGAAGTCGGCATAGGAGAAGGCGTCCGGCGTCGGAATGAAGGTCACACTGCGGGGGGCGGGCCCGTCACAGCCAGGGACTCGGCCCCGGTAGTGCCGCTCGGCAAAGGTGCGAGTCTCTAGATCCATCCACCGGGGAACGTGACCCGGAGGCCCAGCCCTGCTTCTCACTACACTCCAAATGAGGAATGGAGACCGGAAAACCTCCTAAGACCAATGTGGAGCAGAAACCACAGCGAGGGAGCCCGGAACCAGACATCAGAGGTGCAGCATTCCAGCAGGAACTCAAGCCTTGGCGCTTCCAGGATGTGCGCGTGCGCCCTGTGTGGTTGCCGCCTTCCCGCGCAGGCGCAGGAGCGCTCGCCCGGTGGTGGACCGGCTTCCCAGCGGCTGGCGTTTGTGTTTGTGTTTGGTGGTCCCGTGTCTTCTGCGTGGTTCTCTTGCGTCAGGTGAGCAGTACTGCTAACACGCAGCTAGGCAGTACTTGAGCCTGCCACTGAGACAGGAGGTGAACATGAGTCCCAAACCTTACGGGATGACGGAGTCCTGAAGGGGGTGGTGGGGTGCGAGTGGAGGGTGATAATTCGCGGGGCGTGGTGAGGCGCTGGAGTCTCCGGGATAGGCTGAGGAACCTTTCCAAGGGTTGTGATGTTTACTTCGAAATAGAATGGGACAAATTAAAAGGGAGAAAAGTGAGTTTTGGGACATTCTGAGGTTCAGGTAGAGAGGTGTGGATTATTGGGAAGAGGCAAGAGTAGAAACAGGAGGCAGGGAATTGTTTAATCTAATTCGCGCATTGTGGACCTCACTGTGACTCTCGTGGTCAGATTGGGGAACTCTCTTGCAACTAGCTCATGGTAGGAGACGACAGCTCATAGAGAAATTCAAGAGGAGAGAAACACATCTCCATGCCAGGACTCGTGGTGCACGGGTTACGTTAATCCCAGCGTTGAGGATGCTGAGGTAGAAAGATCCTAGGACAGTGTGAACCACAAATCAAGACTTGTCTCAAAAAGAAAAAAATCCAGAACACAATGACAGCAGCAATGAAATCCCAAGTCATCCAAAAATTCCATTTACATGCAATCATTGAATCTTCTGGTATCAAGCCTGTTTTGCCAGGCATACATGAATTTATACATTTTATTCCTGTGCCCTCCTCCCTCTCCCGGAGCGCTCTTTCTTCTTTTCCTACATTGGCAGTATATTATATTTGGAAACATTATTTTAGATCTTTAATCTACTTCTTGGCATACAGTTCTTAAAATTTTTGGACTGAGCTGATTTTTGGATTTTGCATGCTAAAGAGCCCAACACCATCCAACATCCACATTCAATTACCAGATGGAGCTGGTATATGAAAACCTAAGCAGGACAGGGACTTTGAGCCCAGCTCTCAGCCTCTAGGGCTGAAGGTCCAGTGTTTAATCAGCCATGTCCATGTAATGAAATGTTCTGAACACCCTTAGAAGACTTCTTCTGAGGACCCTGGAGAGTGTACCTAGGGAGTGTTGGCAGGTTGTCTCACCCGTGACCTGCATCTTTTCATGCCCCATGTAATGTCCTTTATAATAAAACAGTAAACATTAGATGGTGTTTCTCTGAGTAATATGGACTTCTGGGGGACATCCGACTCAAGGAGCGCTCTCTGGGGCCCTATGTATAGGTGCTGGTCATCAGGAAGAGGTGACATAGTCTGGGCTTGCATCTGCAGTGAAGTAAGGACATCTTGGGTGACTGAGCCCCCAACCTTGGTATCTGACACAGTCTTCAGGCACACATTGTCAGAGCCAAACTGAATTAAAGGGCTTTCTTCTAGTGTCTACTGCTGACACTTTTAGGGTCCCAGAATCTGGTGCTATGATGTGAGACTAGAGGTAAATAAGTAGTTTGTTTTTCCATAGAAGAATGAAAAACCCAAATAGGAATTGCTTCTTTGCCTGTGTATCTAAGACCAGTGTCCCTGAGAAAGAGGTCAGGGCCAGGTGGTATATATATGCTGTCAAGATCTCTGGGCCAACACAGCCCCTAACACAGTAAGTGGGACATGAACTCTTGGCTCCTAATAAGTTAGTGCTGTAATTCTGGTCTTCACATAGTAGCCTCTGGTGTTAGTAACATCGTCAAGTATGTCAGGCCTGGAGAGAGGCCTGAAACACAGGTGTGTGTCTATGAAGTTGCCTCTCCTACCTCCAGCTAGGCACTGCTAGTGATGCACTTCCTCTGCCCACACAAACCTATGGAAAGTACACATCCTGGGCAGAGCCACCTCAGAAGAAAACAGGAAAGCAATGGAGTTGGCAGTCAGGAGGGAATGAGGGTGGGAACAGTGGATGGTCTCATTGCTCTCTGAATATCTAGAGCACACCCTGCAGCAGGCTGTGTGGCATTTGAAACATCCTCAGAAGCATGGCTGAACCTCCCAGGGTGGAGATGGGAACTTCTGAGGGAGTGGAAAGAGGGTCTGCTGCAGAGCAGGAGGGCAGGTAATGGAAAAAGCCAGTCTTGCCGCCCCCGCTCGGACACACTGCCCCACTGTTCTCCCTCTCAGCCTTGTGGTGGAAGGTGTGCAGAATGTTGCGTGTTCTGTTACTTTGGAAATTAACTAAAAATAGGCTGTTTACTTGCTATTGAGTCTTGCTCAAGGGCACATGTGTGATGGAAATGCTGAAAGAGACCCATTATGCCAATCCCACTGTGTTAGGAGTCACAGTCAAGTGACGTGGGCCCATTCCCCAAGAACGTCATTTATGTGACTTAGCTTGACACCCAGAGATTGCCTGCCATGACTTCCCATGATAATTGTGCCTCTCACATGCAGGGTCCACATAGAGCTCCTACTACTCTACTTGTACTGTCTACCTGTACTGGTGAAGGCAAGTCACAAGCTAACAAAGGGAGACATCAAACACAGAACTCAGGAACAGAGCCTCTCTGGAGGTGACTGAGTATATGTGTACTGGGTGCCCTTGGAATGCACAAGGCTCACTTCTGTGAAGATCACTTTTGGTGTACAGAGCAAGTTACCTTTGGAAAGCTGTCAGCGGTGTGGGAGTGTGGTGGTTGTGGTGGGCAATAGGAAGGGTAAAGGTGCTATGTAAACAGAAGCTTTAAGGTGGGAGAGCAATTCAGAGTCAGGGACAGTAAGAAAGAAGCAGCAGAATAAAGCTCAGAGCCCCATTAGATCGACCGGTCAGAGGTGGACTTTGGAATTATGTTTTCTGTGATTTGTTTGCAGTACTGTCCTGCCACTGTCCCAGAACTCAGGGCCTCCCATATGCCAAGCAAATGCTTTACCCTCAGGGACCCTATCTTCCCAAGCGTTTTTAGTGGAAGTATTAAATTTTACAATTCTGTTTCCTGACTGATGGGTAGTGAATAGGCTGAAGGGGCAAGATGAAGTGAGAAGGTCTCGGAGGGGCTGTACCAAGAAAGGATGACATTACACTAGAGAGGGTATCACTGTGGAGAGCTGTCTGCGTTGCCAGATGGGGGGGTCACACCTGTACCCCAAGCCAGGTCTGAAAAGAAAGTGGAGAGCAGAAAAAGGAGATTTATTCAATGTGGCCACATTGGGAAGAGGGACAGAGAGATCTAGTGAACCCCTAAGTCCTGGAGTGAGACTAAATAGAAGGCCAAAGATTTGCATATGTAAGCAGTAGAGCTGTGCCCCCCCCCCAACCCATCCTTGTCTGGACTTCAGTCTCCTGTGAGATGGTTTAACAAGTTGTTAGAATCACGTGAACTCTCTGGGAGACAAGTTCCTCTGACTGCTGTCTTTTCCTTCTCCCAGCTTGAGATTCCTGGGGAGATTCCCATCTCTTTGGGGTCCATTGTTTTAATATTCTGATAGATTGTGAGACACAATTGTCTCTTTAAAATATCTTCACTTTTGCCAGGCCTGTTACCTTAGGATTTGTTTATGGGTTTAGGAGGATGAGGAAGAAAGGAGTCCAGAAAGACTCTTGCGTCCAAAAGAGCTTTTGTTTAAAAAAACAAAACAAAACAAAACAAAAAAAAAATATCCAGGGCCTAGTACAGTATGAGGTACCCAATAGATGGCCAAACAAGAGTCTGGTGGTGGGGCCAGGCTGGTTGGAAAAGCCTGTTAGGTGTGTCATAAAGATGCCCAGCAGGCAGCCTTGAGATGAGAGCTCATGGGCTTCATAGATAGATGTGGTTGGGTGAAGTCAGCCTTGTCGTGGTACTCTTACACCTTTATGTCCCATATTGGGGACAGTAACTGGGAGGGGATAATGGCATATGAGGGGGAGAGAGCAGTATGTGTTATAACTTGGAGATTGTTGTTGTTGCTTTTGGGTTTCCAAGACCTGGATTCTCTATGCGGTCCTGGCTGTCCTGAGACTCAGTCTGTAGACCAGCCTGGCCTTGAACTCAGAGACCTGCCTACCTCTGCCCCCTATAGGTATATTTCACCACTGCCTGATTTACCTAGTAGGCTTGTGAACTGATGATGTTGTCAAGAAGAATTCCTAGAAAGAAGTTGTGTCTGATTAAAACTAAGGCTGTGGTGAGGTTGGAAAGTTGCCAGGAGCTAATTACCATATCTTGGGCCCACTTTAGCTGTGTGAATAGCCAGCCATTCCTTGCCCACCTCTGTATCAGTAATATCCTGTGACTAATAGATTAAAAACCTTTGGCATAGGGAGGGGAGGAGGTGAGGGGAGTTGGGAGGGAGAAATGTGATTGGTATGTAAAATGAAATAAAACAAAAAACCTTTGATATCTACTAATTTAGCAAACCACTAGCTTCTACCAATCCAAAAGCTAAGAATGTCATCAGATAACATCTAAGGCCTATAGAAAAGCTTTCTCCATCTTGCTGTGACCACTTCTCTAATGAACCCACCAATGTGTTTTACATTTGCTTGATTTATGATTTTCTTTGTTCTGTAAAAGTATTAAGACTCATTAAACTACGTTCACTTTGGAACATGGAATTTGGGGTGACCTAAACCTGTGTTGCTGGACCACTGTCACTCAAAATGGCTCCAGGAGAAACATCTGTCATTCCATTTAAGGTGAGCACTGTGCTTTTGGTGTTGACAAATGGGATTGGCCACAACCTGTAGTCCATGTCCAGTTGCCAGAATTTTATAGGTGACATGTACTGGAATAGCCCTACCTCTTGGTGTCACTTGTGGTGGTTAGTGACTATAACTAAGATTCAT